GCACTGAAAGCTTGAGCCAACATGGAAGAAGCCTTCCTCTCTGAAGATGCAAGTAAATCATGACAACTATACTCGACCACATGCAGCCCAAGTTGAGAAGCAACATTCTTCACAACAGTCCTCTTCCCACATCCAGGTAAACCAAACAAAAGAACAGCAACCCTGAATTTTGATGAAAGTGCTGATGGGCATAAAGTTGGTGTGATAATAGAGGCCAGGGTCTTTACTGTGTCTTGATGTAAAGGTGCAAAACCTCTTGAACCAGAAAGTAAAAGATCCGGAGGAAGAGCAGATGGAGTACTTGCTGCAAGCACAAGGGCAGTTTGGGCACGATTGATTCTAAGAATCGGTTCATTTGAAGGTTCCATTGCAACCACCTAAGGACATGAGCCAGATTATTTGATATGTGGTACTGTGTAAAGATGTTGGAAAACACAGAAAAAATGGAATACCTTAAAGTATAAATTGGTATCATTTTGTTTCTTTTGGCTACAAGGAATGCATATGGCTGATTTGCAGTTCCAATTGATGCAGATACTGAAAACATCACCTCTGGCAAGACATCTATCAATGGAAAAGTACTCGTTTAAGGCCAGATCGATCTTTTCCTGACGATTTTCAGTTTCAATGGATGAAGTTCCTACAAGAGAACCAATGGTACCACATTCTGGTATCTTTACAAAAGATACCCTCAAATGTGAGGCATATCTTGGTGATTTTGTCAAAGGCTCGATATCTAGGTTAACAGAGAAGTCCTCATTCGGTTCATTTTCTTGTTTAGTTTCAAATAAAGAAGCCAATTTTGTTTCTCCATGGTGAAGAAGCAGTCTCAAGCATGAGGTATGCAAACCAAGATTAAACGCTAAAAGAGGAGAGACATAGGCAACTTCTGTAGCTAATGGTACATGATTAATTGTAGGGAAACTACATGAAGGAAATGCAAGCATTGCATATGAGAGTGATTCGTTGTGAGATGTGATATCATGAACACTGGGAGGATCAAGAGCCACAACTTGACTGATTCTTTGTATCTGGGAATCCACATTTTTAACAATTACCTAAATTTAAAACACAGAACAAAAAAGTGAATAGGAGAATCATGACTACAAAAAATTTCTTAAGAAATTATAATTAAAAGTTGCACTAAAAGAACAAGTTCAAAACCTAAACATCTGATGAAGGACTTTGAACCTTGTACAAACTAATTGGTATGCAGGCAACTAAAGCTGAATTCTAACTCAATTTATGGCTCTGATATCTCTAACTGCTAGACTTATAACAAAACACAAACTTATCTCTTAAAGATCATGGTGCATCTGCTGAAAAACAGCCAATAATGATCCTTATGAAACCATTGGAGATTTAAAATCATGAAATCATCATCTTTTTCTTCGATCTTGTTTCACACTTTCAAAGGTTCAGAAGAATGAATAAGAGAATGATTAAATTACCAGTGAACCCGAGGTAATCAGTAGCCTTTTGAGAAGCGATGTAGAAAGCCCAATCAAGGCAGCATCGTCGAGAGAAGCCACCTTCTTGCCTAATTTGTCCTCAGACAATCTAAGAATACCCGCACGCAACTGCAACATAGTCGGTGCATCGCCATCGCCGTCGCCGAGGGAGTATTTGTTAACCGAAGCACCGTCAATTCCATTTATTTTTTCTTTATGGGATGAATTGAACACGGAATTGAGAAGTGATTTTGTAGAAGAAAGCACGAGAGGCTTCCTTCTCCCCACCATTTAAGCTCTGTGAGAACCTAGCAACTACAGAACACCAATTGAACTGTAGTGAGGAAACAAACACAGAAAATCATCTATAAACAAGGGTTATTGCGCAAGTCAAGAAAATCCATAAGGAGGACGTTGACGCCATAACTGAATAATTTCAACGTCATCAACAGTCAGGGGGCGCATTTAGCTGGATATGGGGGGAGAGGCCCCCAACGCTTTGCCATGGACGAGCGTATATTAGTGGAAATTGGGCTTATAAAAAGAGGCCCTCTTTTTTCGTCTTCAACTCCATTCCAAAAATGCAACAACTAAATTTCGAATGCATACGTGCACGGTGCGGTGTGGTGCGGTTTAAAGCCAAAACCGCAAACCGCACCGCACATGCGGTTTGAGTTATTTAGAAACCGCACCGCGAACATTCAAAACCGCATTATGCGGTGCGGTTTGGTGCGAGCGGTTTATGCGGTTTGAGTAATTATTTACTTTAAATTTAATGGCAATACTATCATTGTCGTCACTAACGGCTCACTAAGTGGTCATTAAGAAATTTGGTGTTCATAAAATTGTGGTCATTAACTACTTATGAATTTATATAAGTTAAGAAAACATAGTGACCATAAAATAATGGTCACTGAATGTTAGTTGAAAATGAATTTGAGACAAAAAATATGGTCATTCCATTAAATTTTGCATTAAATTTTGGATTAATTAATATTACATTTCAAAATCTTAAGATAGTGTCACTAATTTAGGACCTGTCAAATTATTTT